AAAATCGAAGATTTTAGAATATAGAGAAATAGAGTCCTAAATGTAAAGACATTTTTTTTCTTTTTTTGTATGTATTACATGTCTGCAAGAGATCTGGATTTTAGAGCATGCATTTTCTCATATTTAAAGTTTAAAGACTTCTTTTCTTCAATCGCAAAAGATTGCCTTTATGTCAGGATAGTTTGATAAAATACATATACCTACACAAACATGTGGTCTTTTACTAACTTCACAAAGGGAAAATATTCAATTGTAAATCTACCATCAATTATTTGCTTAAATTTGTTATCCTCTAATTTGTTTCATCTTGCTGCCTGCTTTCTGGAAAGAAGGAATAACAATACCCATAAGTCTTGAATATGCCTATCCATATAATTTGCATAGTGTTCAATCCATTGTGAATAAAGAACAATATATTTCTGTAAAATCTCTAGTAGAACATGTTAGTTATATAGCTAGTCCCTTTCCACTTGTGATAGTATAAAGCACTATTAATAAAGACTTAAGGAATTTCTATTTATTTTCTACCAGAAAAGAGGCTCACAAGTATAACTTTAACCATCTTTAATATATAAGAATATAAATAATTATTAAAATTTTAAAAATTATTTTAGTGTTGGCATTTCTTTTTCAGAATAGAAAATATTGTTATAGTATTTCTTCTTCTTTTTTTAAAAATATATTTTACTGATTTTTTACAGAGAGGAAGGGAGATGGATAGAGAGCCAGAAACATCGATGAGAGAGAAACATCCATCAGCTGCCTCCTGCACACACCCCACCGGGGATGTGCCCACAACCAAGGTACATGCCCTTGACCTGAATCGAACCTGGAACCCTTGAGTCTGCAGGCCGACGCTCTATCCGCTGAGCCAAACCGGTTAGGGCTGTTATAGTATTTCTTGATTATTAAAACACACTTTTTCTTTTTTTAAAAAATTTATTTTAGAGAGAGGGAGGGAGAGAGAAAAACATCAACCAGTTGCTTCCCATATGTTCCCCGACAGAGGATCAAACTCACCACCTTTCAGTGTATGGGACAGTGCTTCAACCAACTGAGCCACACTAGTCAGGGCACTTTTTCTTTTTTTAATTGACAAAATGATAAATGAAAGAGAAATCCATTAGTAGATAAACATACAAATAGTGAACTTAATATATGATAAAGTTTACATTTCAAATTAGTGGAAAAGGAAATCACATATAATAAATGGTTCTTGCATAACTAGCTTTTCTCCATAAGAATACAAAGCTAGTTTCTCTATGTTAATCATATAAAAAAATAAATTTCATATGCATTGAACTTATCGAATAAAAGACAAGAACATTAAGATTATTTAGATGCCTTTGAGGGTGAAAGAATATTTTCTTGGCAAAATGAGAAACCTAAAAAAAAAAAAAGAGAGAGAGAGAGAGCCAGATTTGATCAAATACAAATTTACAAATGGCCAAAGATACCATAAAAAGTATCCAAATGTTAGTGAGAGACTGTCAGAAGGTATTTGTTCCACAATATGACAAAGGATTCATTTCTATATTTTACAAATAGCGCCTACAAATTGATTTGTTTAAAAGATAAATAGAAAAGGGGCAAGGGATATAAAAGGCAGACACAGAGGAAAAAATTCCAACTTTTTGCAAAATTAAGAGAGAAACATCCAGTGGTGGTGGAAATAGGCTATTGGGAGTTTGAATTTCTTAAACTTTCAAAAAGTAATCCAGGATGTAGTAGATAAGTCTACAAATTAGGCCAACATTGATCCCTCTCCTTCTTGTTAATCTTGCCTGAACTTGAACCTTGTTTTCACCAAGAATATGGCAGAAATGACCCTGGCCTAGCCTTTAAAAAACTGGCACCTTTGCCCTGGCTGGGTGGCTTAGTTGTTGAGGGCGTCATCCCATACACCAAAAGGTTGCAGGTTCAATTTCCAGTCAGGGCACATACCTAGGATAGGGGTTCGATCCCTGGTAGGGGTGCATGTAGGAAGCAACCATGGATGTTTCTCTCTCACATTCCCATTTCTCTCTCTCGCGCGCGCTCTAAAAGAAAATATATATATGGCACATATCCTCGGGCGAGGATTTAAAAAAAGACTGGCACCTTCTATTTTTTTCTTTATATGAAGCCAGACTGGCGCCTTCTATTTTTTCCTTATGTGAAGCCAGCTTTTATGAAAGAGATATGACTATCCCAAGACCATAATGTGACAACCCAAGCTACCCACGTGGAGAGAGAACGAGCTGAGGAGTACCAAGGCACCACACATGTGACTGAATCTTCTCAGGCCATCCAGTTCAGCATAGTTGCCCACTGAATGAAGCTGAGTGAGCAAAACCCTGCCTTATTTCCTGGCCACAAAATTGTGAGGAAATAATAAATCATTGTTGTGGTAGGCCACTAAGTTTTATGGTGGTTTGTTACACAGCAATATATAACCAAAGCACAGGAGTATCTATTCAAGTAAAAGAAAAGAAAGAAAAAGCATACTTTTTGACCCTGCAATACTACTTAATAGATTTTGGTACATCTATATCATGGAATGTTGATATCCTTAACAAGAATTAGTTGAGCCCTAACTGGTTTGGCTCCGTGGATAAAGTGTCGGTCTGCGGACTCAAGGGTCCCAGGTTCGATTCCGGTCAAGATAGCATGTACCTTGGTTGCGGGCACATACCCAGTGGGGAGTGTGCAGGAAGCAGCTGATCGATGGTTCTCTCTCATTGATGTTTCTAACTCTCTATCCCTCTCCCTTCCTCTCTGTAAAAATCCATAAAATATATTTAAAAAAAGAATTAGTTGAACTCTAGAGATGTTCGTGATATATTGTTAAATAAAATGCAAGTTGCAAAACAATATGTAGACTATAATCTCATTTTAAAAGATTAAAACAAATATATATGAATAAATGCTCTTTTATGTTTTTATGAACTTACAAAAAATATAGCTATTTGTAAAACTATTACCATTGGTGTCTTGTAGGAATAAGCACAGGGTGATTCTGGGTAGATAGGCTACAGACCTTATTTTTGTGTACTTGTGCTATTGGATTATTGCAAGCAGCAAAGATATTTTTTGTTGTTTGAAAGAAAAATCCAATAAAATATTTAAATAAAAGGAATCAAAGACATTCAAATATTCTTGTTGTAAAAAGAAAAAAATATTAAACTTTACATAAGTATATAAACCAGAAAGGGAAATCATTGGGTAATCCTCTTAATCCAGGTTAGAGTAATTTGCCTTATTGATTCAACAATATATCAAGGGCATCTTTCTGTCAGTAAAAATAGATCCCGATGACCCTTTTTCTTTAATTCTTTTCCCCCCTTTTCTCCCCCCCCCCCCGCCACCCCCCGCTGACCCTTTTTAATGGCTTCAGAATATTCTATTGTTTGGATGTATTATAATTTATTTAGTCAGTTCTTATTGTTAGAATTCACATTATTTCTACTTTTTCTGGTTATAAAAATAATGGTTATTCTCATAATACATCTTCACCTACTTCTTTTAGAAGTGAACTTGTTGATATACATATTGCTAGCATGCCTTCTACAAAAACTGTAGCAGTTTATAATTCCCACTAACAGTTTATGACAGGAGCAAAAATAATTGTCTAAGGCGACATCTAACCATTCTTCACGAAAACAGCCAAAAGGAATTTGCTAGTTTAGCAATTAGCAAATGTTTTCATGTTGCTTTGCTGTACAAAGGGACGTGGGTAAAACTAGAATTATTGTGCATTCAGTCACCAAAATTCCTACTTACTAACTGGGGTGGAAGGGTCACAGGAGGTTAGCCCAGAAGTGAGAAAATGAGGAAAACAAGTCTTTTGCATGGAGATGAAAGAGTAAGTCAACTGAAGCAGATTTTCTCCAGTTTGCCAGGCTGAATGACTTGCAGTGCCATCTTCTGGCAAAGAAGCCCAAAACTTTCAATTTACTGTACATGCTGGGTGGGAATCAAGTTTGTCTTCTAAGCAGGACTAAATCAAAGACCCACAGGAGAACCCAAAGGTCTTGGTGTTGGTGTGTTGGGAAAGGGATGAAGGGGAAGGAGACAGATTTCTTTGAAGTAAAGATCTAAATCATTTGACCTCTGAGGTCTCTGGCAAAATCAGAAGTCTCTCCAAGCTAATACAACTTGTGTACAACAGATACACCCTGGAGTTGTACCATCCTTCTTCCGCTTCAAGTTTGTAATTTCCAGTATCTTGGGATAAGTCACTTTAGCTGTAGGAATACCAGGACAACACCCTTATTAGGAAATATGTTTCTATCTTAGGAAGTCCTGCAATGAAGAAAGGTACTTAGACTACCACCCCTTTCAATATACTGACAATGAATTTATACACACATTAGATATATAGGTGTAGAATATCACATTATAACTTAAAATTTTTTTTCGAGACTTAAAATTACTTTCTTGTTTTAATCATCCAAAATATACTAGAAAAAGGCTTGCTTTTTAAAGCAAAATTACTTTTAAAAATGTGGCATCCCACCCAGCCAGTGTGGCTCAGTGGTTGAGCCTTCACCTAAGGACCAGGAGATCAGTGGGGGCCTTGCAGGAGGCAACTGATAATGATTCTCATCATTGATGTCTCTCTCCCCCCCTTCCTCTCTGAAATCAGTAAAAATATATTTTTTTAAATGTGGCATTTTTAAATAAATAAAAGTCTTCAGGTTAAAAAAATTATTTTTGCAGTGTCTTATGTCTGGGACAAATTTATAGTATGCTTTATTTCAAATCAACTTCTGCCATACTACTTCAAACTACACACTCCTTTTTTCCTTTTCAACTTTCCTGCTCCCTTAACCAGTCCCGCCTGCAGTGCCCTGGCCCCGCCCCCGCCCCCGCCCCCGCCCCCTCCCTGACCCCGCCCCCGATCGCGCCCCGCCCCGCCCCCTCTCGCGCCCCTCCGCGCCCCTCCAAGCCGCTCTTTCCCAGCCACCTCTACTGCGCGCTCGCTTCAGCGCGCTGACGTCACACGCCAGCGCCAGTGACGCGCCGACCGCTCCCCCTTCTGCACTCGCGCCAGTGATGAAGGGGTGGTAGGCTGCAGTCTTCAGCCCGGGGTCCCCAGCACTTTCCTGCACACCCCGGAATCTAGCGCGGGCGTGGCGAGGCCGGAGGGCGTGGCCGGCAGGTAGCCTCCCTGTCCCGGCGGCCGCCCGTCCCCACCCCGCTGCGGCCACCGGCCACCCGCTCTGAAGTTGGAGAGGCAGCCTCCGAGGCACTCCCCCTGCTGCCGCCCCGCCGTTTCCAAGGGGCTCAGAAACCAGTTTGTTTCTCGCCGGGGTAGTGTGTACCTGGCTCACAGGGCGTTGCCCGGGTTGGGACCGAGTCCAGCCTGAGCGGTCAGGCCAAGGCTGTTGTCAGGCGTGGGAGTCTCACTGCCCCCTTCATAGTGGGCTGCCAGCTGCTGGTTGGAGACTCGGTTTCTCTTTCAGGATGTCATTTTCGAAATGCGGGATGATGCCTCTGCCTCTTTAGGTCCCATAGGAAGATTGCTACACCTAGACTTTGGCTCATAGATCATCACCGTTATCCCTACTAACGGCCTGTGTCGGTGAGGTGAGTTTTACTTGGGGGAAGCAATGAATGGTATGCAAAATGGCAAAATCAGGTTGGAAACGAGGAGACCTTGCGTGGACTTGCTTATGTAGAGATTGCATGGATACCTTAAGTGCGCGGAAAAATAACCCCTATCTCACTACAATATTAATTCTCTAAGGAGCAATATGTATTGCAAAGCAATCATTGGACATTGTTTAAACAAAAATCTATTAAAGTAATAGAAATCTTGGTACGGATAAGCAATCATTTACAGGCTTATATGTTGTCTCCAATCTTAAGTTACACATAAATTTAATTAGAAAATGAGTAGCAACTGGTTGGCCTGTAATCTTACATTTCAGTTTCCATGATTTGAAACAATTTCCATATGTAAGGCATTAAAAGTTCTACTTTCAGAGTTCATAACTCATTTCTTACATATATACAGGCCTAATTTTTATTCTCCAAGATCAAGAAGCAGAAAAATTATTGCCATTCTAAGTTACATCAGAAATATTTATGAAGGATTAAAAGTTATATCCAGTGTAAACTAATAGTAGCCTTTCCTTATGATGCAGCAGTATTGTAGAGATGATGGAGGGAAGCCAGATATGGAGAGAAGTAGGCCTTTGTTTCTAGTTTAGGTTTGTCTGGTGTGAGAAGATCCACAGATCTTCATTTAAAATTGCCCATTGTTCTGGGTGAAAGGTAAGGAGCCTATTTTGTGGGAAAACAGGTTTTTGCACAGTAAAAGTCACCATTAGTTTAGTAAGGTTTATGGAACTTGGCCACAGGAGTTCTTCTGAGGTCATTTTAATAATACATTGACATTGAATTCCAAGTAAATTTTATTCTGTCTAATCTTCCACCGCCTAAGTCATGATCATGACCCCATTTCATGAATGTAAATTATTTACATGTTGGTAGTTTCCACTAGGGAAGCCATTCATTGTTGCCTGAATAGACTTACAGAGGAGAAAAACAAATATTTTTTTTTGGGGGGGGGGAAGTCTAGTAGGAATCTTATTTTTGCTTTCTGCTTTTTTGAGTAACGAAAAATAAGGCAGGGACTTTCCTTACTGAGAAGATAAATTGACCCTCTCCCATAATCCCAAATGGTAATTATTATTTTGGGAGAATTATATGTATGGATTGTAGCTGCGGACAGCACCATAAGGAATCTATTGACATTCCTTTACCCAAGTTTCCCTTTAGGACATCCTGTCCATCATATAGCTGAAGTAACTTAATTTTTGAGATGGGTGGGGCTAAAGTTTTTCATTCATATACTCTGACATTTTTCATGTTTGGTGCAAATAACTTTATTATGTCAAAATTGCTTATTTATGGCTTAAAAAATTTTTTAGTAAAATGTGAGAAAAGATGTCTAATTTGACTAGAGGCAAGATATTTTTGGGGGGCAGGGAGGAGAGCATAGTTGACATACTTGAAAAGAAGAATGATACCATATAGGAAAATGTCGGATGTCAGGATTAGAAGTTTGGAAATGGAGAACTGTTCAAGAAAAATTGATTTAGGTAACATTCTTCCTACTTTCTATCAGAAGTTATGATTCTTCAATTTAATGTATTATTTTGAATAGATAATACATTTATACAGTTTAAAAAATCTTCTCAACTACTCAGTTCTCTTCCCTGAAGGCAGCCAATATTACCAATTTATTTTGTATCTCTTCAGAGATATTACTTAACCTATACAAGCATCTATGTGTGTGTGTATACATGTAAAGGTTGTATATATAAATATATTGTATATATATTTATACACATACTGTATATATAAATAAATGTAAGTAGAAACACACACATGTATTATATTTCCTTTTACACAAAGGGAAGTATGAGCTATTTATTATTCTGGTACTTAGAAATTATATCTATATAAATGTTGCTTCTTTCTCTTTGACTTGCGGATGGATATTTAAGTTTTGCCATTTCAAACAATGCTGCAGAGGATAACTGTACATGTCTCATTTTCATACATTTGAAAATGTTTATAGGGTAAATTCCTATAAATGGAATTTCTGGGTCAATGACTGAACATTTATAAGTTTGCATTTTCACCACATTCTGTTTTCTTATATTCCTCTTCACCACAGTACAGTAAAAAAAACTTTCTGAATTTGGCCATTCTGATAGCTAAAAAACACTATCTCTTGCACTTCTTTTATCATGGTAAAATATACATAACAAAACTTATCTCTTGTACTTTTATATTGTATTTTTCATGTGAGATTGCATACCTTTGCACACTGTAACATCAATTATATTCCTTTTTGTTGTTAACTTTATATTCTTTGTCCATTTTACTGTTGGCTTTTTTTCGATGGATATGTAGAAGATTTTTATTTATTAGACAAAAGAATCCTTGGTGATCTGACCTAAATTATATAAATATATTTATTTTTGTCATTCGAATTTTTATTTATACTAGTTTTTGCTATGCAAGATTTTTATGTAGTCATATTAGTCCCTTAAGGCTTTTGGGGTTTGTGTCATACTAAGCTATTCTAATCTAAGATCATAAAAATCATCCTCTCATGTTCTATTTTATTACTATTATGTTTTTAGTGTTTACATTTAAATATTTTATCATCTGGAATTTAAGTTGGTAGAAAGTGAGTAAAATGGATAATGGATTTAACTTTTTTTCCCATGTTGCTACCCTAATTGTCTAAATACTACTGGGGCCTTGACTTACGAGTGTCCCGACTAACGAGTTTTTCGAGATACGAGCCGTCTCTCTCGGCCGATTTTTTGCTTTGAGTTGCGAGCTAAAATTCGGGTTATGAGCCAGCTTCAGATACCCCACCGCTAGTTGGCGCAGCGAACGTCACAGTGAACGCCACAACATCAGCCCAGCATCACGTGTCTCACTCGTTCACTTTTTGATTTGACATACGAGTAATTTGAGTTACAAGCTCCGTCACGGAACGAATTAAACTCGTAAGTCAAGGCCCCACTGTATTTGTTTTAAAATTCATTTTTTCCCTACCTATTTGAAATGTCTCCATGGTCATCTACCAAGTTAAAACTTTAATATATATTTATGGAGTTTCTATGATTTGCCAATTCATAATTATTATTGCTTTATAATGTGTCTTGACATCAAGTAGAACAAGCCTTCCTTCATTGGTCTTTTTTCCCCCCAGTATTTCTCTGGCTATTTTTGCTTTCTTCATATTAACTTTAAAATCAGCTTGTCTAATCTCTTACCCCCAAAGCTTTTGTTTTCTCTGGAGACAGCATTAAATTTAGAGATTTTAAGAATTTAAATCTTTCTGATATTGAATCTTCCTATTCCATCCACCTCCTTTCTTCCTTTCTTTCTTTCTTCCTTTCTTTCATCTTTCTCTTTTTTAAAAATATATTTTATTGATTTTTTTACAGAGAGGAAGGGAGAGGGACAGAGAGCTAGAAACATCGATGAGAGAGAAACATCGATCAGCTGCCTCCTGCACACCTCCTACTGGGGATGTGCCCACAACCAAGGTACATGCCCTTGACCAGAATCAAACCTGGGACTTTCAGTCTGCAGGCCGACACTATCCACTGAGCCAAACCGGTTAGGGCTCATCTTTCTCTCTTTCATGGTTGTTTTTTCCTTTTTCTTTCTGTTCCTTTGATGATCTTTTTTTTTATTGGTTCATTTTCCAGGTTACTAATCCGGTATGCTATTGGTTCTTTATTTCAGATATGTTAGTTCTGGAATGTCCATTTAATTTTAAAAAATAAATTTCAGTTCTTTGTTGAAACTCTCCCATCTTTAAAATCTTTTAAAATAAGTTCTCCATCTTAAAAAAATCAGTATGTTCATCTTTCTCTCTTATTTTCGTGAACATATTAATCATGGTCATTAAAATCTCCTACTGATAACTCCATATTTGAGTCATTTGCGAGTCTATTGTGTGTGTTTTTTCTTTTCGTTTTGGTTGTTTGGCTCTCTGCTTTTTTTTTTTTTTTTTTTAACATGCCTCATAATTACTGACTGGATGCTAGAACTTGTGAATGAAATGTCTTAGAGTTTCTGGAACATTTATCCTCCAAAAATTGTTGTTTTATTCTGGCAAGCTGATGGGAGTATCAGCTGATAACTTTGATCCTGTTGAGGTTTGGCTTTAGCTTTGTTAGGACTAGCCTGTCTTATTCTTGCCCTGTGTGTGCACAATTTAGGAATGGGCTAACTGACAAGAGAGGAATTTATATGCAGATTTTTATTTATTTTTAAAATATATTTTTTATTGATTTCAGAAAGGAAGGGGGAGGGAGAGAGATAGAAACATCAATGATAAGAGAGAACCATTCATAGGGCTGCCTCCTGCACGCCCCCTACTGGGAATCGAGCCCACAATCTGGGCATGTGCCCTTGATCAAAATCGAACCCAGGACCCTTCAGTCTGCAGGCCAACGCTCTATCCACTGAGCCAAACCAGCTAGGACTGTGCAGATTTTTAGACTCTAGGGTTACTCAGTTTTTTTCCCTCCTCTCCAGGATTTTGGCAGCCCTAAACCACTGTCTCCTCAGCCCATTAAGACTGCAGCTTTCTACTTAAGCTCCATTCTGCTTGCCACAGTTTGGAAAATGACTTCAGGAAAAAGGCGGTGGTAAATATGGAACTTTCTAGTATATTCCTACCTTTCAATGATTATAGCCCCTCAACTTCTATCTGTTGTTTTATATCTTTTACTCAGCGTTTATGATTGTTTTGGGAGGTGGGATGGTCTGTTACGAGTTTCACCATCATGGTTGGAACAGTATGTCTCACCATTTCCTAAGCAGACTTTCACTTAATCTCCCAGATTGTCCAGGTATACCTTGGAGATATTGTGGATTTGACTCCAGACCCCTGCAATAAAGGGAGTCGTAACTTTTTTTGCTGATAGTGGGTCTTGCCTTCATTTTGTAAAAAAGGCAACATCTGTGAAGCACGGTAAAGTGAAGCACAATAAAATGAGGTGTGCTTGTATATGGCATTTCCATTCTCAGCTGTGTCAGGA